GGGATAAGGTCCATTGCTGGCTTTTCGGCTTAGTAACAGAGATGAGCACTGTCTCCTACAGTCGGGCACAACGTGACAAGCTTGCCAAAGAGGAAACTTTTTCCTTTTAATCACCTGTAACTATCAGTATTTTCCAATGTTTTATATATTTTAATGATCTCTTGGTCTTTCTCCACTCTCTTGGCAGGGAAAAAATTGTAATATCCTATGACAATATTTCAATTTTGCTACATTTTCAAACTTGCGTTAAAGTCCATGATTCTGTGCCATACAGTAGTACCAAAAATACTACTGAATATAGAGCAACCTAGGAGTAAGAAAGTTCCATTGAGATCAGGCAGATGGTAAGATGGCACTTGGAAAGTACAGTATATTCAAGACAGACAGGAATTCTAATCCACATGAGTGATTTTGTAAGTGCTGAATCAAGTGGAAGCAGCTATGGCTAAACTTTCTTTTCCTAAATATAAGCGGGCAATCTTAGACATACAAGTTTGTATGTTTTGCAAATAGTCTGCATTGTTGGATGAACTAGATAATAGCTGCTCTTCTAAACAACTGCCCACAGACCATTGTTCTTACTGACCCAAACTGAATATTGACTGATGACAGAGGAGAGATTGGGTTCCAGATGCTTTAATTATGCCTTCACAGGTTCAAAACACACTGCAGAGAATAATCCAGTTTGAGACCGCTTTAAGTGCCCTGGCTCAATGCTAGGGAATTCGGGAATTGTAGCTTTCTGAGACTTTCTCTGTCAGAGAGCTCTGTGGCCACAACAAACTACAATTCCCAGTATTTCCAGCACTCAGCCAGGGCAGTTAAAGCAGTCTCAAACTGGATATTTCTGCAGTGTGTTTTGGACCACAGTCAGATCTACTTGTTTATGTTATGTCAAGCCACAGACACTAGTTATATATCTGGGCCAGTAACATGAGTCAAGTGTTTTTGAATTCATTAAATATCTATAAGGGTTGCCAACCTTTTCATTGGCACTGTTGCTGTGTTTTTAAGCCACACCTTGCTGTAGATTGTCACATTACTGTCCAAAACTCTGCCTCACATTTCATGTAATATAAAATTCCCATCAATATAATCTGTGGTATATTATTTTCTATATAGTTGAGTTATTTTTCTCATTCTTAATGCCATTATTACAGGATATGTTGTGTCCTGGTCATACACTTATTATGAATTTAAATAAATTTTCATGTGTTCATGAACATAAGGATCAACAAGTAAAATGTTGCTAGGTATCTTAAATGGGGATGCTGCTTTTCCAAGTTCCAGCCAGCCACCCAACTGATATGGCCTCCTCCACTATATAATACTCCATTCCACTATAACTCTGTAAAAGAAAATACACAGGTTTTCTCTTCCATGGCATGTTGCTCCAGTGCATGGCATGCCCAGTTTTCACTGGACTTCTCAGAGGAATGTCCCTCTTAATTTAATAAAAACTTGTGCAAGCATATCATTTTATGCATCATGGCTCCATTTTGGCTCCAGTCTTACAAATACAGGTTGAGTCTCCCTTGTCCAAAATGCTTGGGGCCAAAAGTATTTTGAATTTTGGAATATTTGTATATACATAATGAGCCAGCATGATGTAGTGGTTTAAGCATTGGGATATGACTCTGGAGACCAGGGTTCGAATCCTGGCTCTACCATAAGAATCTACTGGTGACCTTAGGCAAGTCACACTCTCTCAGCCTCAGAGGAAGGCAGTAACAAGACTCCTCTGAAGAAACTTGCCAAGAAAACCCTGTGATAGGGTCTTAGACCACCTTAGGGTTACTATAAGTCAGAAATGATTTGAAGGCACATCACCAGCACTGCCACCACCACCACGAGATATCTCATTATTGAGGTGGCACCCAAGTCTAAACATGAAATTCAGTTATGTTTCATATATACCTTATACATATAACCTGAATGTAATTTTATAAACATTATTTTTAATAGTTTTGTGTCTGGTGAAACGTCAGAAAGAAACTCTTCTAGAAATGGCCACACAGCCCGAAAAAAACACAAAAAACTATGGATGCCGGCCATGAAAGCCTATGACTTCTTAGTTTGCTCATTAATTCTTTCTCATTAATATCTTTTGCCATCTTGACCATGCTCTGATGTTGCTTGGCCACATGTGTCCCAGTTTTTACCTGTGAAATGTTAGAGGGTATGAAATACCACTTAAATTTGATGTTAGAGACAGAGTAGAAAATGATAGATACTCTAGTATGTTCACAGTACCCTTGAACAAAACTCCAAGACATATGCAGTTGCATGTGTCAGGGCTCTGTTAAGATGTTCAAACAAATATATGTACCATAGTCCACTGAGGGAGGCATGATCTCTTTGCTGCATGTTACTTGAGTGTGCCTTGATGATCTGAACAGGGTGTATATAGAAATGAATTGGATAATGCCTAATATCTGGAAGGAAGAACAGATGTCAGCTGGGGAATGAGTCTTTAATCTGTTCTATTTTTAAAAAAGGAACAACCATGGCATCTTGTTGCAGACATTTATGTACAAAATCTTGTTTGGTTTTGGTTTTATGTTTGAAGTGCACCCCTTCCTTATTCAAACAAAAATCCATCAGTGATACCTGTATTGCCCAACCAAAATGCACAATATACTTGTTGCAAGCTTTCGAAGCTCCATGGGCTTCTTCATCAGGCAAGATGTTACAAACCAAACAGGAGAAAAACAATGGGAGATGTTCATCAGATGCCTACATGTTGTTCTAGTCTTTAGTTAAGATGGCATATGGGGGAGGATATCTTTTGCAGGCAGGCTCCTCCTGCTATAGGGAGATTTGCAAAGTCCAGGAAATTTAAAACCCATTTGCATTTCAACAGGGACCCCTCTTCTGCAATCCAATACGTCTCCATTCCAGCTATTGCCCATGCGGTCACTGCTCCATTCATTTGTTCTGTCTCTGCCTAATAATCTCTGACCATCACCCAACACTGAACTCATCGAACAAGGACAATACAAGCCATAATGAATAGTATCCACACTAAAGTGGGAAACTGAGATGGCAGAATTCAGAGTGCATGTGGGGAAAAAGTGGGAATGCTGAAAGAACAGGGGAACCTCACAACTGGGCTGGCTTTCCTCATTTTTTAAATACACAATGCCATCTAAAGATTTCTCTGTCTCCCCCAACAAGATCATCCCTTCCAGAGTCTGGAAGTAATGACAGTAGCATCTAAAAAAAGCCACCTTCCCAAGACCATGAAACCTAGACCACATCCTAGGAAAGTTCATTTTGGGTTGATCACTCTCAGAATCCCTCAAACTGCCTGGCCAATAACTAAGCTGACAAGAGCATACCGGGAGCTGTTGTCCAAAAAGGGGGAACTTTTCCAAGCTATGGTTGAGAGTCTGTAGTTATTTATTGGCAGCACCATAGGGATCTGAGGAGTACTCATCATTTGAATGTTTATTCAGAAAAACAACCTCTCTGCATTAATAAGCTAATATATTGTGTTGCTGTTGTGTGCCTTCAAGTTGTTTCTGACTTATGGTGACCCTATCACAGGGGTTTTTTGGCAAGATTTGTTTAGAGGAGGTTTCACATTGCCTTCCCCTGAGGATGAGAATGCATGATTTGCTCAATGTCATCCAGTGGGTTTCATCGCTAAGCTGGAAATCATAGAATCATAGACTCCAATCCTGGTCTCCAGAGTCATAGTCCGATGCTCAAACGCACTGGCTCTCGTAATATATAGTGAGTGGGGTTAAATTAAAATGTACTTCCCAACAAGCTGGATTAGTGCATTCTGGGAAGACATTTCCTCTCATAGGCCAGCTTTCAAAAATACGTCACACCCCAATACCACCTAATATTGTTCCTTCTTGAATTCTACCTCGAATTCTACCTACATATGTTTTCTTACCTTTGTATTTGAATAATTGTCTCTTCCTCATATAATTGCTATTGTAGGATACAATGCTTATGTTGATATATCTATATATTTATATTAAATCTCTCTCTCCACTGAATGACTATGTGTAGAAATGACTGTATTCTGGAAGCAACTGTATAAACGTGAAGTCAAAGGCTTTCATGGCTGGCATCCATAGTTTTTTGTGGGTTTTTCGGGCTATGTGGCCACGTTCTAGACATCAGGAATAAACTCAGGTCTTCTAGAACATGGACACATAGCCTGAAAACCTCACAAAAAAACCAACCTATATAAACATTTGGATTTCTGTATATTCTAATGATCTCTTGTCCCCAGCTTCCTAGGACTCCGAGCAGAAAAATATCAACTAATTTGCCCTAAGATCAATTATTTCCAAACTTTTTGGACTTGGGACTCACCTTTGATCTAGTTTAATTTGTATTCTTAAAGACCCTGGAACAGGGGCGAGGGAAGGCCCAAAACCCTCCCCAAGACTAGGTGTGTGTGTGTGTGTGGGGGGGGTGTTCACCTCCTTGCTCCAAATGATCTAGCAAATTTGTACCTCATATAGTACAGCCTCCTTAAGCATTATCAGTCAGTTGGAAATGAGCAACCACTAAGAAATATTGAGATGTTAACTAGACCTCCTGGGCCGTGATGTCACTGGGGTTGGTGTCACCCAGTGTGGTAACCCATGGTGTCACCCCCCCTTCCATTGATCTCCTC